AGGAGAGCGGTGTTCGAGGGGTTGAGGAACGAAGCGCTCGAGAGCCTCACCCCCCTGGTCCGCCTGTCTTACGGAGTCCCCTCCTCGCTCTTCCTCGACCATGAATTCGCAGCGGCTCCACTGCAAAGCGCCAGGGGGGTCCGCCAAGGTGATCCCCTCGGCCCACTTCTATTCGCCGCCAGCATCCACCCCTGCCTCGTTGCGACGGCGACGGCGCACCCGCAGGTGGTCCTACTCGCCTATGCCGACGACATCACGCTGCTCGGTGAAGCGTCTGCCTGCGCCGCGGCCTTCGACCACCTCACAGCCGCGCTCGCCTCCATGGGGCTCCTCCACAACCCTGCTAAGTGCGCGGCTTGGTCCGCCGCCCCAATTGACCCTGACTCCGTCCCCCCCGGCATCACCATCTCGACCGAAGGGCTGCAAATCCTCGGCAGCCCCGTCGGCACAACGCAGGGCTGCGCCGCGGCAGTCAGGGACAGACTTACGGCAGCAGCTGAACCGCTCCCGTTGCTAGCGCAAATGGACCCGCAGCTCTGCCTCCTCCTCACACGCTGCGTCAGCCGCCGAGCCTCCTTCCTGGCAAGGACAACCCCGCTGGAGGTCGTGCCCACAGCAGAGTGGTCGGCATGGGGGGAGCGGCTGCTCCTCGCGTTCCTAGAGGCTGCGCACATTGTCGCGACAAGGAGCAACGCGGAAAGGAGGCGTATTTGGCGGCAGGCAGCGCTCCCCGTTACCTTGGGGGGTTTGGGCATTACGGACCCGGCCGTGGAAGGAAGTTACGCGTACCTCGCGTCGGTGATCGGCGCGGCTCACCTCCTGCACTCGCTAGCCGACTCCCTACACCCCGCCATAGCCGCACTGCTCCCCCTTATGGACTCCATCCCGGACTCCGCAGCTGCCCTGCCCTCGCGCCTAGCTACAGCTGAAGCGGCCCTGCCTCCAGACGGCCTGGAGGCCCTTCAGGCTGGTAAAAGTGACCCCAAGGGACTGAAGCTCCAGCAGTCCCTGGCCCTGGCAGTCCACACCCGCCGCTACCTCCGAGTGCTGAACACGGCGCGGCGGATGCGCCCAAACCCCCTCTCAGGGCATGCCCAGCGGATGCAGTCCCTGCTGGGCCCGGGAGCAGGGGACTGGCTGCTGGCAATCCCACTCTCTTGTGCGCTGAGGCTGGGCCCCTCCCAACACTCTACTGCTTCCTCCTTCCGCCTTGGCCTCCCCCTCCCTGTCCCGAGGCGGTGCGACTGCCGATACCGCACCACCTTCCCTGATGACCGCCTCCCGAATCACCTTATGCGCTGCGAGAAGGGGAAGGGGAGGACTGCCACACACCATGCTCTCAGGGATGAAATCGCAAGGATAGGGGCGGAAGCGGGCTTCACGGTTCACAAGGAGACCTATGCCTATTCTCTGGTTGAAAACCTTCAAGCGGATGTCTCCATCCGCCATCCCCTGACCGGAGAAGTGTGGCTTTGTGATGTGACCGTGACTGACCCGGTGTCCTACCAGGACGAGAACTGCAACCGCGCACCCGGTTGGGCGGCTAGGGCGGCAGCTGCTCGGAAGGAGGAGAAATATGCGGGACGGAACGCGTGGGTGGGGTTCCACGCCTTGGCCGTGGAGACCTACGGCTACCCGTCGCCGGGGGTGCTGGCTTACCTGCGGCAGTGCGCGGAGCTGGCTGCGAAGCTCCGCTACAACGCGGCCCCTACCTCTCGAGAGGCTGCCAAGCTGCTGACGGAGTACCGCCAGCGCTGGAGCGTGTGCCTCCAGAGGGCGCAGGCCAACGCCCTCCGCACCAAGACCAATGAGGCCTTGGAAGCGGACGAGCTCAGCCTGCAAGGGCCGTGGGCCCCTCTCAATGAGGGGCAGCTGCACCAGCTGATTGAGCCCCCGTCCGACCACTAGGGTCGGACAGAAGGGGGGGGGAGTGGGGTAGGTGATGGTTGATAGGTCTGCTTGTTTGTCTAGTCTGCATGTGTCTGCTTCAAACCTTTGTATCACCCTTCAACTAATACACGGACCATTCGAGAGAGAGAGAAAGAGAGAGAGAGAGAGAGAGAGAGAGAGAGAGAGAGAGAGAGAGAGAGAGAGAGAGAGAGAGAGAGAGAGAGAGAGAGAGAGACTACACGCCTGTCTCAACACCATCAAGTGATGTGCTAGCAGCGCTATCAGCTAGGCACCCCCCTGCGCGCCAAGCCATCCCAGACTGGGTGCGTGACTACACTACAGACAGCCCTCCATCCATCTCCCCTCGCCACTTCAGGTGCATCCTCGCCAAATGCCCAAACGGTGTGGGCGCCGGTCCCTCAGGCACCACTTTCGAACACCTAAGGGATGCAGCCTTAGGGAACGCAGACATATTCCGCCACCTGCATGCCCTCACAAACACAGCGCTGACGGGGAATCTGAATGCTGAGGCGGCCGAGCTCCTAACAGCTTCTCAACTTCTAGCCTTCTCAAAGCCGCAGGGGGGTACTAGGCCAATCGCGGTAGGCGAATGCCTTTTACGGCTCGTCGCCAAGGCAGCCCTATTTCTGGCGGCGGAGAAGGCGCGGGACCACTTCGCGCCGCTGCAATTCGGCGTGGCCATCGCCGGAGGCACCGAAGCAGCGGTACACACCGCGAGAACATACCTGGAAGAGAACGAAAGGGCGGTGGCGCTGCAAATTGACCTGGCGAATGCTTTCAATGCGGTGGAGCGGGCGGCGGTGTTTGAGGGCCTTCAGGGGAACGCCCTGGAATCCCTGGTGCCCCTGGTGCGACTGTCCTACGGGTGTCCCTCGTCGCTTCACCTAGACCATGCGTTCCAAGCACCCCCACTGCAGTCCGCGCGAGGCGTTCGCCAAGGGGATCCGCTTGGTCCCCTTCTCTTCGCTGCGAGCATCCACCCGTGCCTGGCTGCGGCGGCGGAGGCGCACCCAGAGGTCGTCATCCTCGCATACGCGGACGACATCACCATCCTGGGAGAAGTAGCGGCGTGCTCGGAGGCGTTCACTTACCTCACCAGCGCCCTACACTCCCTGGGCCTCGAACACAACCCCGAGAAGTGCGCGGCGTGGTCGGCTGCTCCCGTGGAGGCTTCCACTCTGCCTCGGCACGTACCTTACTCCGCGGGCGGAATCCGCGTCTTGGGAAGCCCAATCGGCCCACAACCTGGATGCGCTGAGATGGTACAGGAGCGCCTCTCAGCAGCCGCAGAACCTCTTCCGCTTCTGTCTCAAATGGACCCGCAGCTCTGCCTGCTGCTCCTCACTCGGTGCGTGAGCCGGCGTGCCTCTTACCTCGTCAGAACCACGCCCTTGGATGTGCTGCCGGAGGAGTCCTGGTCGGCATGGGGGGAACAGCTGCTGCACACCTACTTGACGGCCGCTCACACTGCGGTACCACGGGAAGAGGCAGAGCGGGGGAGAGTCTGGCGGCAAGCAGCCCTGCCCGTGACGCTGGGCGGCCTCGGCATCACCAACCCAGCGACGGAAGGGGCATTTGCGTACCTGGCCTCGGTCATCTCCTCCGCCCATCTGCTGCGCTCGTTCGGTGACGCGCTGCACCCTGCTGTCGCTGATTTGCTGCTGCTGATGGATGCAGACGGGAACTCACGATCTTCCCTACCACGACGCCTCGCAGTGGCTGAAGCAGCGCTGCCCCCAGACGGACTAGAGGCACTCCAGGTCGGCCGGCGTGACCCAGAAGGCCCGAAGCTGCAGCAGGCTCTGTCGCTGGCCGTCCACACCGCCAGGTACATAGAGCTGCTGGATGACTCTCGGGAGATGCCGCTGAACCCGCTCTCCAGCCACACCCAGCGCCTCCAGTCCCTCCTCGGCCCCGGGGCAGGAGATTGGCTGCTCGCCCTTCCCCTGATCCCAGCCCTCCGCCTGGGCCCCTCTCAGCATTCCACCGCGGCCTCCTTCCGCCTAGGCCTCCCCCTGCCTGTCCCGCGGCGCTGCGATTGCCGCTACCGCACTACCTTCCCTGACCACAGGCTCCCCAACCACCTCATGAGGTGCGAAAAGGGAGGAGGGAGGATCTCTACCCACCATGCTCTCCGCGACGAGTGTGCGAAGATTGCAGCTGAGGCGGGCTTCACGGTGCACAAGGAATCTACTGTGTACTCACCGGTCGAAAACCTGAAAGCGGATGTTTGCATCCGCCATCCCGACACCGGCGAGGTACACATGTGCGACATCACCGTGACGGACCCGGTCTCCCACCAGGATGAGTTTGCGCGGAAGGCGCCAGGGTGGGCTGCACGGATGCAAGCCGCAAGGAAGGAGTACAAATACGCGAGGCGGAATGACTGGGTGGGCTTCCACGCCATGGCAGTAGAGACGTATGGCTATCCCTCCCCTGGAGTGCACGCCTTTCTCCGCAGCTGCGCCGAGCTTGCAGGCAAGCGGCGGTTCAACGCAGCTCCGAAGTCCAGGGAGGTGGCCAAGCTCCTCACGGAGTACCGGCAGCGCTGGAGCGTGACACTACAGAGGGCCCAGGCCAACGCCTTGCGCGACAAGACCCACGAGGCGATAGCCGCGGACGAGCTTGGCCTGCAGGGCCCATTCGAGCCGCTAGGCGAGGAGCAGCTGTACCAGCTGATTGAAGACCCTACTGGCCAGTAGGGCCGTGGGGTGGGGGAGTTTGGTGGGGTTTGGGGATAGTGTGGTGTGGATTTTATATTAGATTATAGTAGCCTTGCCTTGTTGTGCTCTGAGATGTTGCCGAGCCTTGCCTGTCCATTGCTGCTACTAATACGACGGTCCGTTCGAGAGAGAGGGAGGGAGGCGACTGTGGTTGCGTGAGAGCACTGTCCGCTGTGGGTGACAGTAGTCTGGTGGAAGGGAAGTGGTACTGCCTTCCATGGGAGCATGAAAACTCAAGAATGGGAGAGAGTGCGCAAGGGTACGAGATTAGGAGCGCATGCTGCATCTTGCTTGCTTCAATTCTTCCCAGCTCCCCCCCCCCCCCCCTCCTTGTCCTCTTCCCCTGCTCCACTCCCACAACATCAGCTCCCAGACAAGAAAATTCGAGGGGCGCCTCAAAGCGATGTGAGGGTGAGAGTGGAGCGTACTGTGGCAGATGTGCCTATTGCGTCAACTCAAAAGTCACCTCGGCGTTTTGTCACACACAGACACACACACACACACACACACACACACACACACACACACACACACACACACACACACACACACACACACACACACACACACACACACACACACACACACACACACACACACACACACACACACACCTTGCCCCCGTCCCCGGTCCCACCCTCTCAACATCAGCTCCCAGACAAGGAGATCCGAGGGGCGCCGCAGGGCGATGTGAGGGTGAGCGTGGGGCGCATAGTGGCAGACATGCAGCTCAACCTCTCAGACACCATGCCGTGTGTGCGCTGGTGCGACAAGTGTGAGTGGTGTGGTGCGACAAGTGTGAGTGGTGCAACTGGTGCAAAAGGTGCGAGAGTTGCCAGAGGTGGCAGACATGCAGCTCAACCTCTCACAGCTCTCTGCTGTGTGTGCGCTGGTGCGACAAGTGTGAGTGGTGTGGTGCAACAAAGTGAGAGTCTCGAATTTTGTTTTTCAGCAACCATCAGTGCAGTGACATGAGATTGTTTTCCCCCTTGCATGCGCCTGGCTAGTTCTCTGATGTATGTATGCCTACTGTGTCGCAACTCAAAATTGTTTTGTGCGGTTTCATGGTATGGCATGTTGGCTCTGTGTGGATGCATGGCATTGCATGGCATGGCATGGCATGGCATGGCATGGCATGGCATGGCATGGCATGGCATGGCATGGCATGGCATGGCATGGCATGGCATGGCATGGCATGATATGACATGTTGCCTCTATGGACTCTCTCGTGCCCAATGATGGCAGGTCAGAATCTCAAGCCCCCACTGACACATCACTGCCATATATGTGAAAGGTGAACCTCTCCTCACCTCTTCATCTCACCCACATCATCCCCCTCGCCCCTCGCCCCTCGCCCCTCGCCCCTCACTTCAACCCTTTGCATTACTGCTCACTCACCCAGCAACTCATGAGGCCCGAATATTCCCCTCCATTAGCTTGATCTTCCTCGCAACATCTCGCAACATCTCGCAGCCATATGTGCCTGACATCTGCGCCTCTCCCCTCTTTCCTCTTCACTTGCCCTTCTCTTTGAACTCTCCCTCTACTCTCCCTGAACTCTCCCTCCACTCTCCCTGTACTCTCCCTGTACTCTCCCTCTACTCTCCCTGTACTCTCCCTCTACTCTCCCTGCATTCCTTGCAGATGCGTGCTCAAAATGGACCACCACTGTCGTACGTACCCCTCACCCACTTACTCCCTCTCTCTCTCCCTCACTCACTCACTCACTCGCCCTCTGCCCTCTACCTCCCCATCTTGCATGTATCATCACACTTCTCTACCATGCTCTTTCCACCTCACTACACGACTTCTCACGGTGCCTTTTACCCTGTGCCTCCCACCCCCTGCCTCCCACCCCATGCCTCCTCCTATCAGCATGGATGCACAACTGCATTGGCCTTCGCAACTACCGCTACTTCTTCCTCTTCTGTGCGTCCTCTCTCTCCCCCTCTCGCGTGTGATGAGTCGGTTTTTGAGTCGACTCAAAAACCGACTCTCTCTCCCCCTCTCTCCTGCGCTCTTCCTCTACACACACCCCACCTCGCCCCACCAGCCTCTTCCTTTCCACCAGCAGCAGCCTCCGAACTTTCTCCTCTCACTCTCTCGCGTCTGTTTCTTCTCTTGTTCCATGTCATACCACCACCTCATGTGCGTTTTTTGAGACGTCTCAAAACTCGCATCTGTTTCTTCTCTTGTTCCGTGTCATACCACCACCTCATGCACTGTCGCTGTGGTAGGAGTTAAGGTCAGGACTAGACGTCTGTCAGCTGTTGCACCCGTGCCCATCCACTGCCTTGCCATGGCCGCCTTTCATTTCCACTCCCCCGTCCTCCACATACCACAGCATTTCTCCCGTTTTTCAACTCTCACCCCCTCCCTCCCCCTCGTCCCCTCCTCCAACCTCCCCGCGTCCCTATCCCTGCCTGCACCTGTGTGAGCAGTGCTGTATTTGTGGGTGGGTTGTGGCTATTCAGTCACAGTCGCCACCATGCTTATAGCTGACCGCAAGAAGGTACCTCCACCCTGTCACCCTGTCACCCTGTCACCCTTCCACATGCGTACAAATTGCTGCGTCTCATCATCATGTCGCTTCCATTGTCCAACATCCTTTCTCTCGCTCTCCCCTCCTTCCGCTCCACTTCACTCATCTCTGCTTCCCTTTCCTGTGCCCTCCTGTCCTCTCCTCCCTCCTCCTCTCCCCTCTTTGTTCCCACATTGCCTCGCACATTCTCACTCTCTCTGCTCTCCCCAGCAACATTGCAATCAACATCACATTCCTGCTCCAGGCCGCCTCACGCCATAGTTACTCTCCCCAGTCCCCCATCTTCCCTCCACGCCCATCCCACTTTCACTGCACCCTTTTCCACTCTCTCGTCTCTTCTTTCCCCTCTCCCCTCCTTTCTTCCCCGTCTCCTCCCCTCTCCCTACCTTTCTCTCACTCTCTCCACTCCTTTCTCACCCATCCCTTCGCACCGCAGATGGTCTAGCCGCTGCCAGGGGTGATATTCACCTTCGTGGTGGCACTGGCAGCATTCATAGCGATAGCGCTGCTGCTGGCGTGGCTTTGAGACGGCTCAAAACACCTCCTCTGCCCCCCGTTCCTCTCCTCTCCCCAGATGGTCCAGCCGCTGCCAGGGGTGATATTCACCTTCGTGGTGGCACTGGCGGCATTCATAGCGATAGCGCTGCTGCTGGCGTGGCACGTGTACCTGGTGGCGACAGCGCAGACCACCATTGACTTTTATGACTTTGTGCTGCGGCGCCGCGAGGCCAGACGAGCGGGAAGAGTGAGTTTCCTGGGACAGGGAACAAAGGGATGCGGGGATTCTGAGGACACGAGGGGATTCGGGGATTCTTCGGACACAAGGGGATTCTTACAGAAAGTGTGTAATTTTTTGTTACGCATGCAAACCATTCCTGGGGTAAACACTTGACAACCTCCCTGTGTTCCCTTGCACCGCACTGCACACCTCCCCATCTGCAGGTGTGGGTGAACGAGTTTGACCTAGGCGTGTGCCACAACTTCCAGGCAGTCTTTGACGTGTCGGGGCCGCTATGGCCGCTGCTCATGCTGCTGCCACGCACGGCTGTGCCTCGCGGTGACGGCATTCACTTCCCCACCATACACGACTTGCGCTCTTAGATTCATGGCTCTTGAGTCGACTCAAAGGTCATCCCGCTGCTCATGCTGCTGCCACGCAGCACGGCTGTGCCGCGAGGCGACAGCATCCACTTCCCCACCATACACGATGCGCTCCTAGATTTTTTCGGCGGCTCTGTCTGGCGCGTGGCGCGCCCTTTCCCCTCCATACACAACCCGCGCTTTTGGATTCATCACTATTTTCTTCAGCGTTCCTAACGCGCGTCGCTTCTAGCTCATTGCTGCTGGTTTCTAACTCCTGGCTCCTAGTGCCTTGCTCACGGCTCCTGGTCTTGGGGCACCCATACGGTACAGATCAAGGTGAATAAGGAAACCCAGCAGCAGCACCATTCTCTCAGTCGAACACCATTTCAAGATTCATGACTTGACCTGACCCAGCGAGACCTTTGAGTCGACGCAAAAACCATGTTTACCTCTTCTATCACCATTTCAATGTGCATGACTTTTGAGGAGCCTCAAAAAGACCTGACCCAACGAGACTGGGCAGGCAGGCAGGCAGTACTCCCACACGCCGATTCCTTCTCTAGTAGCATCACTGACCTAGACGCAATGATGGCATGCCATTGAATTCTGACGTCATGACGCAGTGGCATCATGGCATTACCTCCATCCCGTTGTGCACCATGCATACGGTAGTTTGCATCACCTGGGCTGCACAAAATGACCTGGGCTCCTTCCTGCAGTGCCTCCTGGTGTTGTTTTGGGCTTCTTAAAGCCCGAGGTCAGCATGGTTTTTGGGAAAAATTATGAATGGCTTTAACGGGTTTGGCGAAAGACAAAAAACCAAGCGAGGACGAAATCAGCTAACGAGCGGATGGGATATTCGTCACTCAACTGTGCGACACCTGTCTCCTTGGGGTGAGAAGCCCATAGCTGGTCACACCAAATGCGTATGTCTGATAGAGAAATAATCCACGATAGGTAGGGAATCATCCCGAGAGCGCATCGTTGTAGGAAATCGAAAGGTTTTAGGGAACTTCACAAGCGCATGTACAAACTAGTCATTGTGGGAGCGCACCTCTCAGTGCGTCAGAAGTCGCGCCACCCCTCTCTTTATCGAGCTTCTCCTCCCCTCGTCGCGCCTCCCCTCGTCGCGCCTCCCCTCCCACCGTCGCGCCATACAATGTCACGCCACCCGTCGTTTCGTGGGGCATCCCCTTGTGCCTCGCTTCCCGTCGTACTCCGGCGCCTCCCCTCCCCTCGTCGCGTAGTAGCGCTCCCATCCGATAATCGCTCTCCCATCCGCCCGTAGCTCTCCCTTCCGCCCGTCAGCGCGCCGGAGTCGCGAGCTTTTCCGTCCGCCCGTCAGCGCGCCCGAGTCGCGAGCTTTTCCGTCCGTCCGTCGCTCGCCAATCCGCACGTAGCGCTCCCCTCCGCCCATCGCTCTCCCTTCCGCCTTTCGCTGTACCTTCCGCCCATCGCCCTCCCTTCCGCCCGTCGTTCTCCCTTCCACCGTCGCCCTTCTTTCCCGTCGTCGTCCGCCCTTCCGCCCGTAACCCTCCCTTCTTCCCATCGCCATCCCTTCTTCCCATCGCCATCCCTTCTTCCCATCGCCATCCCTTCTTCCCATCGCCATCCCTTCTTCCCATCGCCATCCCTTCTTCCCATCGCCATCCCTTCTTCCCATCGCCATCCCTTCTTCCCATCGCCATCCCTTCTTCCCATCGCCATCCCTTCTTCCCATCGCCATCCCTTCTTCCCATCGCCATCCCTTCTTCTCATCGCCCTCCCTGCCGCTCGTCGCAATCCCTGCCGCTTGTCCCCTCGCTTTCCCCGTCAACCTGTCTCCTTGTCCGCCGTCGCAAAGGCGAGGGTTCCCTCTCTCCCCGTCTCCTCGCTTTCCCCGTCTCCTCGCTTTCCCCGTCTCCTCGCTTTCCCCGTCTCCTCGCTTTCCCCGTTCCATCCAATGCTCGTCGCCCTCGCCTTCCTTCCCGTCTCCCTTCCCATCTCGCACATTTGTCACCCTCCCATCTCTCCCCCCACTCACTCCCTTCCTTCCACCCAACAATCCCCATCAATCCCCCACTTATACCCCCCCCTGCCCTGCTTACCTCTCTCCCTATTCCCACCATTCTCTGCCCTGCTCCCCACCATCCTCCGCCCTGCTCTCTCCCCGGCATCTGCCCCCGTACCCCCCATCCCATTCCCTGTGTAAACGCGCCCCCCCTGCCCTGCTTCCCCCCATCCTCTGACAAGCTCCTCCCCTGCTCTTCCGCGCACAGGGATAGTGGTCGGTGGAGTAAGACGTGGAGAAGCACAGGGTGAAGGCAAAATGGGGCCGCGGCAAAAAATGGAGATGGGCAGAACTCTCACAAAACTCTCTCACACATCCCCTCTTCCTGCCCTCTCTTGGCCATCCCTCCAAAGGCGATCTCCTCATACCCCCTCCGCTTCTCCTCCGTCCCCCCTCCGCTTCTCCTCCTTCCCCCCTCCGCTTCTCCTCCTTCCTCCCTCCACTTCTCCTCCTTCCCCCCTCCGCTTCTCCTCATTCCCCCCTCCTCCTTCCCCCCTTTGCTTCTCCTCCTTCCCCCCTCCACTTCTCCTCATTCCCTCCTTGTTTTCCCCTCTGCTTCCCCCTGTGCAGGGACTTCACATTCTCTCTGCGCTTCTCTGTCCTCTGGTCCCCCCTGGTCCCCCATGCGCACCCCTGTGCCCATCAGGTGGTGGACGAAGCAGGCCGCTTGCTGCCTGTGATACCATAATTGACTGCCGTTCATCCTCACCCTGTGCCCGCTGTGCCCCCTATGTCCCCTCGGCCTCCCCATTCCTCCCCATGCCTCCCCATGCCTCCCTCCGTGCACCCCCTGCACCCCCTGCACCCCCTGCACCCCCTCTCGCCCGCATCAGGTGGTGGTGGAGGCGGACCGGCTGCTGCGCCAGTTCTACCACGACTGGCTGCATGCTGACGTGGCAGTGAGCGTGCCGGTTCTGTGCGGCGTCATGCATGCACATGGCGGTGGCAGCGTGAGTGGTGTTCTCCCCACTCCATTCATCCATGGCCTGCAATCTCTGTGAGCCCTCAACGGTCACCTCAGCTGCTGTGCGTTGCTGCTATGTGCCGCTGCCATGCTGGTGTTACCTCATCTGAACGGGAGGCGTCCTCTCGCCCTCCCCATTCCCTTCATCCATGGTTTGTGATCCTTGTGAGCCCTCAGCCGTCACCGGATGCTACGCGGTGCTGCTACATGCCGCTGCTACGTGCCCGCGCCTTGTGGTTGCTGTGTGCATCTGACCTGCAGCCACTTGACTGACGCTGCTATGAGCCATTGCCTTGCGCTCGTGTCACCTCACCGTGCTTTCACCGTGTTTGTGTCGTTGCTGCATGCGGCGCACAGCCTCTTCCTGCTGCTCTCCGCCTTTCCCCCCGCCTCGCTGCCCTTCGCCTCTGCTGAGTTCTCCTCCCACCAGCCGCAGCTCTAGCGCAGGTTGACTACGATGTTGTGCGTTCAATACCGGCATGTGTGCTTCACCGAAGTGCTACTTACCAGCCTGAACATAGTGACTCATGAGCTGTATACTCACCACGTATGACTCGCCTTATGCCAATCCACTTGTTGGATTCTATGGTTGGCCTTGGCGAATTATGTTGCATGTGTTTGGTAGGGACCATAACTTACACACCTAGGTTCATATTGCGCTCACTGCATCTCTTACTATTACGATATTTGTGAAAATCCTCGTCTGGTACGGTACCCAAATTCCCTTGAAAGGAAAAGAGAGGCGTCTGGCTTCGGTTTCTCAGAAGTGCTGCACTCACAACACTGCCAATTGCATAATCAGAATCTTCAGCAGCAACCGCAATAGGGCCCGTATTGACATGTTGCATCACGAAGAGCGACGCTCATCACTTGTGCTGGGGGATTCCAGTCGTCGAAGAGCTTGAGCATGCGCGAGTTGCTGCACGCGGTGTAAAGATCACATTTGGCGACGATGGGGCGTGAGTTGGCACTCCCCTAGGCTTGGCAGCGGGTTGACTTGCCAGAGAATGGCGTTATCAGTGATTATCACGTCAAGCCGCTCCTCCAACATGCTCCACGCCACGTACACCTTCCGCCACACCTGCGCGCGGATGAGAAGGGAAGGATTTGAGGCGGTAAGGTGGGCAGGCGGTAAAGTGGGCAGGCGATAAAGTGGGCGAGGATGAAGGAAGCAGAACAGAGGATGAGGGGAAGGGAGGGAAGAGGATGAGGGGAAGGGAGGGCAGAGGATGAAGGAAAGGGAGGGCAGAGGATGAGGGGAAGCAGGGCAGGGGTAGGGAGGAAGCAGTGCAGAGGGTGGGGGAAAGCAGGTTCAGTGAAATGGCTAACACGGAGACAGGGAACAGGGAGAAAGGGAGAAGCAGTGAAGGGGATGGGGGAAAGCAGGGAAGGGGATGGGGGGAAGGAGGGAAGGGAATGGGGGGAAGCAGGGAATGGGATACGGGGGAACAGGGAAGGGGATGGGGGGAAGGAGGGAATGGGATGGGGGGAAGCAGGGAAGGGGATGGGGGGAAGGAGGGAAGGGGATGGGGGGAAGCAGGGAACAGGATGGGGGGAAGCAGGGAATGGGATGGGGGGAAGCAGGGAACGGGATTGGGGGAAGCAGAAAAGGGGTTGGGGGAAAGCAGGGCAAGGGTTGGGGGGAAGCAGGGAAGGGGATTGGGGAAAGCAGGGAACGGGATGGGGGGAAGCAGGGAAGGGGATGGGGGGAAGCAGGGAAGGGGATGGGGGGAAGGAGGGAAGGGGATGGGGGGAAGCAGGGTGTGGGATGGGGGGAAGCAGGGAAGGGGATGGGGGGAAGCAGGGAAGGGGATGGGGGGAAGCAGGGAAGGGGATGGGGGGAAGCAGGGAAGGGGATGGGGGGAAGCAGGGAAGGGGATGGGGGGAAGCAGGGAAGGGGATGGGGGGAAGCAGGGAAGGGGATGGGGGGAAGCAGGGAAGGGGATGGGGGGAAGCAGGGAAGGGGATGGGGGGAAGCAGGGAAGGGGATGGGGGGAAGCAGGGAAGGGGATGGGGGGAAGCAGGGAAGGGGATGGGTAGAAGCAGGGAAGGGGATGGGTGGAAGCAGGGAAGGGGATGGGGGGAAGCAGGGAAGGGGATGGGGGAAAGCAGGGAAGGGGATGGGGGAAAGCAGGGAAGGGGATGGGGGAAAGCAGGGAAGGGGATGGGGGAAAGCAGGGAAGGGTGACAAGTGTGCACCATGGGAAGGGAGACGGGAGGGATGGCGAGGGCGACGGGGAGAGAGGAGGACGGGGACTGCGAGGGGACGAGCGGGAGGAAGGGCGACGAGACGAAGGGAAGGCGACGGGCGGAAGGGAGAGCGACGGACGGAAGGGTGGGCGACCGGCGGAAGGGAGAGCGACGGACGGAAGGGTGGGCGACCGGCGGAAGGGAGAGCGACGGGCGGAAGGGTGGGCGACGGGCGGAAGGGTGGGCGACGCGCGAAAGGGAGGGCGACGGGCGGAAGGGAGGGCGACGGGCGGAAGGGACGGTGACGGGAGCGACGTTCGGATGGGAGGGCGGCGCGTGGAAGGTGGAGCAACGGGCGGATGAGAGGGGACGGGCGAAAGGCAGAGAGACGAGCAGGGCGACGCGCGGAAGGGAGGGCGACGAGCGGAAGGGAGGGAGGCGAATGGAAGGGAGCGACGGTTGGAAGTGTGGGCGACGAACAGAAGGGAGCGCGATTGTGGACAACGCGAGGAAACGAGTAACGGGAGCCAAAGAACTGAAAGCGTCGCGGGCAAGCGAGGGCGAATGGGGGAACCTAAGCGACCAACAACCTAGCTCTAGACCAGGGAGAATATAGCAGCAGCATCTTGCGGGTGTTCGAACATGAGTTGTGTGCAAAAACGAAGTGATTTTTTGGGCGTGAATGACGGGTGAACTATGTCTAGTATGCTTGACAATTAGTATCAAGATGGTTTTCAAGTTCAGTTCAAGTGAACAGTGCTGTCTTGCCTGCTGACCGTAATCTCGATATGACTTTGAGTGTCGCTGGCCAATCACAGATCACTATCGTGAGAGAGTGCTCCACTTCGGGTGGTAACATGGTTTTTGGCGAATTCATATTCAAGAACCTTGAATATGAAAACAGCCATGTAGTACTCGGGCTTTAAGTGTTTCCTCCAACTGTCATAAACCGCCAAGGTTTTCCGCACCACCAAGAGTTAACCGCTATAGAAGCATTAGGCCTACCGGACCACACTTCTGTGACCTTGCCCCACTCTGCGTCACGTACGGTACTTTTAATGCAGCAATTGTCAAACTATATCTGTTCTATTATAATGTGTAAGCTGTAGTGGGATAGCCACTATGGGGTACAACCCCTTTAAGGTTTCTATTTGTACCCAAACCTCTCATCGTTCATCCATTCTAGCTTCTAATTTTGACATGGTATTAAAGCCCGGGGTCAGCATGGTAAATTATCAAGTTATGTGGATTTGAAATAGGCTGTATGCGAGATCCGCGAAACCTATTTCGGCCTGCTGCCTTTGGCGAGAACACCTTTCCTCCGCAAAAAAATGAATGTTTCGCACTCACCAAACCTGCGAATCTCACCAACCCAAAGCGACCAATTTGTCGCACACATCCTCTCTTGCATCGGGCATGCATAGTGTGGCTCCACCAGAAGTCTCCTCACCACTGAATCAGCTCGAGTCTAACGGGCCATAGAAAAACAGAGCAATGCACGTGCTGCGTCTCAACGCCACCTACTCAACGCCACAACAGAAACATGTTCGGGACGTTCCTCGCCCCAGATTACTAGCCATCCGACCATCGCAGGAGCTGGCAACAACAACGTCTAGGAACGTGCAAGCGCGATCGCACTTACAGAAAAAAAGTGAGGACAGTCTGGCGACTATTGGTAGCTAGGCACAACGAGTAATCGGCAGTGTATTGGGGTCGTTGTGACTAGACAGGGGGAAGAAAGCGAACGTGGTTCGGCTCTCGTACCGAGCGCCGAGTAGCACCCGCTCGTCGCATTTGGCAGCTCGCGTTCTGTGCGACGCGGAGCCCGCATACCAGTCGAGCGGAGCCCGCATACCAGGCGAGCGGAGCCCGCATTTCAGGCGAGCGGAGCCCGCATTACAGGCGAGCGGAGCCCGCATTCCAGGCGAGCGGAGCCCGCATTTCAGGTGAGCGGAGCCCGCATACCAAGCGAGCGGAGCCCGCATACCAGGCGAGCGGAGCCCGCATACCAGGAGCGGAGCCCGCATTTCAGGCAGCGGAGCCCGCATTCCAGGCGAGCGGAGCCCGCATACCAGGCGAGCGGAGCCCGAATACCAGGCGAGCGGAGCCCGCATTCCAGGCGAGCGGAGCCCGCATACCAGACGAGCGGAGCCCGCATACCAGGCGCGCGGAGCCCGCATACCAGGCGCGCGGAGCCCGCATACCAGGCGCGCGGAGCCCACATACCAGGCGAGCGGAGCCCGCATACCAGGCGAGCGGAGGCAACATACCAGGCGAGCGGAGCCCGCATTCCAGGCGAGCGGAGCCCGCATTCCAGGCGAGCGGAGCCCGCATTCCAGGCGAGCGGAGCCCGCATTCCAGGCGACGAGCACACTGCTGCTCTCGGCGACCACCACGCGCACAACCAAAGCGGATACTGCGCACTGACGGGTAGCAAGGGGCAGCACACGCCCCTGCGGGTTGCCCGAGAGGAGAGCCAAGGTGAGTGCCCAATTCCCTGCTACTCGACTATAGAACAGCGATACTGGTTGCTGCTGCCGAAGCCGGTCGCTCGAGAGGAGAGCCCAGGTGAGTGCCAGCGATACTGCTTGCACTTGCATGCACACACCAGCCCACACCCAAGGCACAGCAACTCTTGTTGCTGCTGCCTTGGGCCTGCTTGCACTTGCATGCACACACCAGCCCACAACCAAGGCACAGCAACTCTTGTTGCTGCTGCCTTGGGCCTGCATGCACTTGCATGCACACACCAGCCCACAACCAAGGCACAACAACTCTTGTTGCTGCTGCCTTGGGCCTGCATGCACTTGCATGCACTCACTAGCCCACACCCAAGGCACAGCAACTCTTGTTGCTGCTGCCTTGGGCCTGCTTGCACTTGCATGCACACACCAGCCCTCACCCAAGGCACAGCAACTCTTGTTGCTGCTGCCTTGGGCCTGCTTGCACTTGCATGCACACACCAGCCCACGCCCAAGGCACAGCAACTCTTGTTGCTGCTGCCTTGGGCCTGCTTGCACTTGCATGCACACACCAGCCCTCACCCAAGGCACAGCAACTCTTGTTTCTGCTGCCTTGGGCTTGCATGCACTTGCATGCACACACCAGCCTACGCCCAAGGCACAGCAACTCTTGTTGCTGCAGCCTTGGGCCTGCATGCACTTGCATGCACACACCAGCCCACAACCAAGGCACAGCAACTCTTGTTGCTGCTGCCTTGGGCCTGCATGCACTTGCATGCACACACCAGCCCACGCCCAAGGCACAGCAACTCTTGTTGCTGCTGCCTTGGGCCTGCATGCACTTGCATGCACTCACTAGCCCACACCCAAGGCACAGCAACTCTTGTTGCTGCTGCCTTGGGCCTGCTTGCACTTGCATGCACACACCAGCCCTCACCCAAGGCACAGCAACTCTTGTTTCTGCTGCCTTGGGCTTGCATGCACTTGCATGCACACACCAGCCTACGCCCAAGGCACAGCAACTCTTGTTGCTGCTGCCTTGGGCCTGCATGCACTTGCATGCACACACCAGCCCACAACCAAGGCACAGCAACTCTTGTTGATGCTGCCTTGGGCCTGCTTGCACTTGCATGCACACACCAGCCCACAACCAAGGCACAGGAACTCTTGTTGCTGCTGCCTTGGGCCTGCATGCACTTGCATGCACTCACCAGCCCACGCCCAAGGCACAGCAGCTCTTGTTGCTGCTGCCTTGGGCCTGCATGCACTTGCATGCACACACCAGCCCACAACCAAGGCACAGCAACTCTTGTTGCTGCTGCCTTGGGCCTGCATGCACTTGCATGCACACACCAGCCCACAACCAAGGCACAGCAACTTTTGTTGCTGCTGCCTTGGGCCTGCATGCACTTGCATGCACTCACTAGCCCACACCCAAGGCACAGCAACTCTTGTTGCTGCTGCCTTGGGCCAGCAGCAGTAGGTCCTTAGGACCGTTCTTTTTTTTTTCCAGGCCCACCATTCCGACTACGGTTACCGCGTTACCCCACTGCCCTACCCCGCGTCGCGCTGCCTTGCGCACGCCACCTGCGCGCTGCCCCTGCTGGACGCGCGCCACTGCTGTAGCGCGCGTTTTCTTTAGTGCGCTAGCCCATCTGCGTCCCGCGCGCCTCCTGCAGCCCCGCACGCCGCCTGTAGCCCCCCGCGCCACCTGCCCCTGCCGCGGCTGCCTGCTACGCGCCGCGCGCCATCTGTTGAGCTGCCCCGCAGCCCCGTACGCCGCCCGCCCTGCTGCCGCGACCGCCCGCTACGCCCTGCGCGCAGCCCGCCCTGCTGCCTTGCCGGTCGCCTGCAGCCTAGCGCGCTGTCTGCTACAGTCGCGGCCGCCAGCTACGCCCAGCGCGCCGCTCGCCCTGCTGCCCTGCGTCGCGCCGCCCGCGCACGCCCTACTCTGCCCTATGTCGTGCTGCCCCGCCGCGTGCCCTGCCTTGCCTGCGCACCGCCCGCCGTTGAGCGCCCTGCCCAGAATCGCGCCACCCGCACACGCCCTGCCCCACCTGCGCGCTGCCCTGCACATCTGAGCTCGATTCCACCACACCTGAGCTCGCTTACCGCACACCTGAGCTCGCTTCCCGCACACCTGTTTCCTGAGCTGTCCACTTTTGCCACAGTTGTCGATCTCATCTCCCACCTTCGCATTAGTGACATTCGCCTTCGCGCCACCCTCCCGAAGGAGTTCTGTGCTAAGAACCCACCTCCGATGTACTGGACCCTCCACTTCATAGTCACCCGTCTCCCTGACTCGCTTCGCTCTGCCAGGGACCACTTTCTCGCTCGCTGTCCCACCGATCTCACTGTCGACCTCCTAGAGAAGCACCTCCTTGCAGCAGAGAAGAGCATTGTCGCTGTAGGTGCTGCTCGTGGCGCTCCTCGCACCCCCATCTTGGAGGGGTGCTCTCCCTCTCCCCTCACCCCCTCCTACGCTACTGCCACTGTGGTCGACCTGCTTGGTGCTGAGTCTGCTGGTGCTGCTTCTACTCCTAGTGGGAGGCGCCGCAACGGCAAGGGCAAGGGAGCCAAGGGTAGCGGAGGTGGTATCCAGAGGGGTGGTGGTGGAGGCGGTGGAGGAGGAGGGGGTGGTGGAGGGAGTGGTGGCGAGAGTTCTGGGGGGAGTGGGAGCGTCGGTAGCCGCGGTGGAGGCGGTGGCGGCGGAGGGGGTGGCGGCGGCGGTGGCGGCGGCGGAGGCGGCCGGGGCGGCGGTGGCGGCGGAGGTGGCGGTTGGGGTGGAGGCGCTGGAGCTGGCCAGCGACAGCAGCAGCAGCAGCGTCCCCAGACACCCCAGCAGCTCCGTGAGTGGCTTGCTCAGCGTGGGATGTCTGGAAGTGGTGGTCGATGCCCGTATGTCATTCGCACAGGTGACCACAAGGGTCAGACATGCGGGAAGTTCCACACCCAGCACCGCTGCTTCTCCCGTCTTGACGACGCCTGGCGTGAGGAGATGGGCGAGGAGGCTGAGCGCCCTCACTGGCATGAGCTGCATAGGGCTGGTGTAGACATTTTTGCTCTTGACCATGATGCTATTATTGCTGCCATGTATGCATTGGAGGTTAGTGCTGACGGTGACTGTTACTTGTGTGTGCCGCCTGACCCCGGTATAGAGGCT